CTTCACGAGGATGGGGTAGGTCATGGGAAGCTCCTGGTAGCAGGTTTAATCGGAGCTGAGAGCGAAGAAAGTGTGCCATCAACTCAAGAACAAAGGGTAATAATAGCGTGCAAATCATGGGAAAGGTATCTGTGTCCCCTCAAGTTGAAACGTTCAACCCGTAGTCCTAGATTTCAATGCTGTCCTGGCCATCTGACCATGTACCCGAATGGACGGTGAGTACGTATGAAATCTTCTAAGCCCCCTTTCATCCTTCAAGAAGACAGAGAAAAAGTCGTAATTTTGTACAATGTAACCGTGAACCTCAGTGAGAGGTTCGACCCTAGTATTCATCATCGTCCCCTTCCTCATCCCCAGATTCGCCCTCATCCGCCAAGTTCATAAACATGCCATTCTCGTCGTCTTCATCATCCTCATCCTCCTCGTCTTCAAGGTCATCGTCTTCACTGCCGACGATACTGCCCTCAGGTTCGTCTTCTGACTCGGAGGCAATAGGATTCCGTCTGCGGTGCGTCATGAGCTTCTGCACGAGAGACATCGCCTTGGGCGGTGCTTCTTCTTCCTCCTCGGAGCTCTCCTCTTCAGACTCTTCCTCGTCTTCGGATACCGGGTTGTCTTCGCGGTTGCGGGCGAGCTTCTCAGCTAAAGATAAAGGTTTCTTCGCGCCTTCTTCTTCGTCCTCTGAGTCGGGGCTTTCCCGTGTCTCCTTATTGGCAATGTCAGCCCCGCCTTCATCGTCGTCTTCGTCCTCGTCCTCGTCGTCAGAGGGAAGGACGCGTGCACGACGACCGGCAGGCTTTGCGGGTTTCTCCGCCGCTTCCTCTTCATCGTCGTCCTCGTCTTCTGATAGAATAACGCGACCCCGGCGACTCGTAGGCTGAGAAGGCTGCTCCTCACCCCCTTCATCTTCATCATCGGAAATAAGCACTGGACCACGTCGACTTGCGCTGCGACCTGAGTCCTCTGCCTCTTCCTCCTCGCCTGATTCTTCATCCTCGTCAGACGATGCGACTTGTCGTCTCCTCCTTCCTCCGCGGGGCTGATTGTCTTCTCCTGATTCCGGCTCGGGGCTGGACCAGTGGGCCGCTGGGTTTCTAGGGCCGTTGCCATCGAAGAGCGTGCTGTCTTCGTCTGCAAGAGGAGAGAATCCGCCATAGTCTGACACGCCCCCGCCTCCCTCCTCATCGTCGCTTGCTTGTTGCGTGTCGATAAGCAGATCGTCCTCGTCTTCATCTACTGACTCCTCGTGAATGCTTCCGTCGTCGATTCCATCACTCTCGTACTCGTTCTGGTCTGAGGAGTCGTCCGAGTCTTCTTCTGACCCGTCTCCCGATTCCTCTTCCTTGTCGTCTTCCGAACCGTCGGCGGCGGATCTGTCTCCATTAGCAGCCCCGTGTTTCGCCCGAAAGGCGTCAAATCGGTCTGCTGCATCCCAGCCAAAGCACTGCATGGGCCAATAACTGACTTCTTCCAGCCGCTCAGCTTCACCCGGTTTCAGGTAAAGGGAGCCCTCCTCCACCATGTCGAACAGTTCTGTGAAGAGATCGATCCATATCTCATCCATGGACAGCTTCTTCTTCAATGCGAATTCGCGACTCTGCGGCTGCGTGAGATCTGGCCAGCAGTACACAAAATGAATGTCCTCGCCAATGTCGACATCCTTTCGCAATTGCTGGATCTCGTAGTTGTGAATCAGATCCGACGCACACCACCTCAACCTATGCGGTATGCGTCTGTCATTATGCCACTGGAAATCGAATAGCTTCTTGAGATTAGGAAAGGCCAAAAGGAGCCGCAGTTCATTGGCGTCTAGGTTAGATCCATCCATGGCCATGTTGATGATGTTCTCAGAGAAGCCGGGGATCTTGAGGTTATGGTCCCAAACGCGCTTGATGCCATTGAGGTGAACGACGTCTCGTTCTTTGTTGAACCGAATGACGCGCCGACCCTCCCGGATCGCCAGGGTGTCTGGAAATGCTTTGAGGGCAATGTCTCGAGACTCGTGGTGAACACGCAACATGGCGTCTACCGCTGCAATCTGGTTCTCCAAGGTCGTGCTTTCCCAGACAGTGTCTTGTCGTGGGTTGGGCAGCACTTGGAAGGATAAGACGCGTGGTGATGGATCGAGATCTGGACAAAAGTACTGCCAAATGCGATGGCGAAGCTCTATAGGAAGTCTGCGGAATTCGGGAAAGAACACCCGTGGAGCCTTGCGGCGGTATTCGCCGAGAATAGATGCAGCTTCCGAGTCCGACTCTGATGAGTCGTCAGAGTCGCTATTCTCCTCTTCTGAAGCTTCGACATCGAGAAAGCCCTGGCCTGGGTCATCGCCGGCTTCTGTTCCGGATTCGCTGTCTGAGGACTCCCGGTCAGACGCATCATTTTGCATGAGACCGACGCCATCAGGACCCGATTCGTCGGACGAGTCTGGCATGTTGATCGATGGAATATCTCGGTTGTCGGGTGAGAAAAGCTGCTGTCTTTGTTGAAAGACAAACGGCTGAGAAGGTGACGGCAGTGGTGAAATGAGGGTGAGACGCGACTGCCCAAGTGCAGGGGTCGAAAATTGATGCGCGCTAGGGAGCTATGGCACGTGAGTCGGTACGTATTGAAGCTTATTTTTCTGCCCCACCTTATTCACCGAGAGTCCCGTCAGGTGAAGAGGATCGGCTTGCCTGCCGAGACTGTACACCGAAGGCCACAATCCTTCACCGAAAGCTACTCCTGGCCCAACTTCCTCCTACAGAATGGTAATAACCACAACTCCAAAAAGGCACAAACAGCTGGAAACCCGGCATTCAATGTGCGGCGGCGACAGTTCCGGTTCCTTTCCATGGATTAAAATCAGCTGCGAATACCCAAGGTCCTCGCTCCAGGCCCTATCGCCCAAGATCCAAGACGCCGGTTCCTCCACAAACTCTCGACTTACCACCTCCCTCTCCCCCATCTTCTGGCATCAGATGCTCCACGATAATACTCGTCCAGCTTCGGCGATACTTGGTAGGTCGTCTGCATCTTCACCTCTCTCTAGTCTACCCCAATACTGACTCGTTCCACTCCCATCGCATCTCGCTTTGACGCTTCTCCACACCAAATCGGTCCACACTACGATGCGAGCTCCATATTCCCAAAAATCGCGCAGCCCGTCAATTCACAGAGACACAACATCTCAACATCCCCGATGGCACAATTGGCTAGCGCGTCAGACTGTTAATCTGGAGGTTGGTGGTTCGAGCCCACCTCGGGGAGATTCAGTGGTTAAATTCCACCGTACGGTTGAAGATTCTGTTTTTTGATCTTTTTGGGGCCTATGGGACGTGATCAACTACGAGCCCAGCAGCTAGAGCTGTTGTGGGACCTATGCGAATATTTTCCCTCAGGAATCGGAGGGCTCGGCGAGCGTACAATACTGGGGAACATTCGTTGGGATAGAATGACACTGGTCCGGGTCTCTTGCTATGTTGAATGTATTGTAGCGTCCTTCCGGTCGGCAATGGCAGTCGAGCAGTTTCTTCGTTGCAGTTGGATATGGTGACATGGCCTATTACTGCAGGAACAGGACGACATGCCTGTTTCGTCCGGTATGGATGTAGACTGGAAGTTCACCGCCACCAAGAGAGCCATTCCCATTCATTGTGCCCACGCGGTTTTTCCGCGCACACTGCCTTGCAGAGGCGAGGGAACATTGAGTATCGCTGTTGTCGAGAGTATTGTGGGCAAAATAGGTACCGTGAGAATACCCACGGAAGGCTAGGCTCCATGGCTGGGTTGCAGACTTTCGAGCTTTACGTAGTCGTAATCCTTCCAAGTTCTCGCGCCAATCCCCAGATTAGACGTTCCATATCTATTTTCGAGGGTATATCGAGGGAGTATCCTGAATTGAGAACGCACTGCATTGGCACACGATACGGTCGGATCCATAGCCGACGTCGAGCGGTCAGGTTATGGGATAGAACGTGGGAGATGTCGGAGCGCTGTAGACGACAAGTGGTAGTACAACCTAGGTAGCGCTCGTAGAATCGAGTACATTGCTATTGATCGGTAAACTAGAATAGTATCAACTTGTAACAGTATTGCATACCTCCATTTACTCTTCAGAAATCAGACACCGGAGAAAAGATGTGGTTTGAGGCTAGTGTTCAAAAGCTCCATGATGCGAAGCAGAACAGTTTGGCTCGGCTGGGTTCCCGTGACACTTGACACCCTGACCGAGGCTGGCGTCAAAACGGCAGTTCGTTCGCTGACGAGATCGTCCCAGATGGTCTCGACTCCTGGAATCAGGCGATGTGGTTAATCGAGAGCTTACCACGTAAGGCCAATGGGATTGATTGCCCCAGAAAGCAAAATGTTCAGAGAGAATGGCCTTATTACCACAGATTGTAGAGCCGAGTTCCGCCTTGTCGGCTCGATTGGTCTGAATGTGTGGATACCAGAACCAGATAGGAAGTTATTTCCCACCAATCACTTATTGCATCACAAGCAAAAAGAGCAACTCCATGTTGAGGTCGAGACCATTTGCGTGGACAGCTTCATAGAACGGAAACGCGCATCAGTCGACACCCGTCAATGCGTACTTTGGGTAATGTCTACCGAAAGGGAATATAGATCTCTTCGGTGTTTTGCATCGCTTTTGCTGAACCGTGAAGGTTACTTTGGGTTTCCTCGAATCCAGACCTTCATCGGCGCGTAAGGGAATCGAGAAAAGTTGCCAGTATCAGGAATTTTGTTACTACAGATTTCAATCATTCTGTTCCCGACGCTTGACTAAATCGTCTTATACCAGGTCGCTTGTTTGTTCAAGTGCTCTTTGCGAAAAGAATAGGATCGGGGGGGCCTTCATCCTAAATGAATCGTACATTTTCGTATCCGTTCGTACTAATCGTATCCGTTCGTATTCGGAAGACTTCGTTCGTTGTAATCCATAGTCGTGCAAACGTCGTCTCAACTCTTGCCCACCGTCGAGTTATATCCTCAGTTTGCCCATCGGTGCAACAGCACTCTCAAGATCTGAGAACAGCGATCAAACCAGCTCCGGCAGCAAGGTAGGCGAGAAGTTGTCGGTGAATGTCGAGTCTCTTCCAGTCAGCAGCCCATCCTCGAACAACCTCGAGACTCGCCCCCTCTGCTCGCTCGTCCGTCTTCTCCGCCTTGATAACAATTCGATGCTCCTCCAAAAGCTTGTCGTTGACGGGGAAGATCCTGAATTGCGTGTATGGGCCCACGGCCCCCATCAGGAGCCCGGCGGCGAGGTTGAAGAGAAAGGCGGGACTTGCGATGCCGTCTGGTAATTTTCGTTAGCCGTTATGTTTTCTTCTTTCCAATGACGGGAGAGGTCTGTTCGTCTGTTTAAAGTTGCGGGAGCTGTAGTAGAAAGGGCAGGGTAGAGTCCAGATTAGGAGGTGGACGGGGGGCGAAGTAAAGGAAAGTGGGCGCGCACCGTTCCATGCCAGGAAGCCAAAAACGGCGGCCGTGCCGACAACCATTGCGGGGCCGTACACACGGCCAAAGTCCCAGCCCCGGAACCAGAGCTTTACTATGGTGTCCTTGTCATTGAGTTTTAGGATGCTGTGCATGGCAATTTTGTCCGTTCCGAATTGGTAGCCTATAGACGACCTTAGTCTCACACACTTCCGGAATTTCATAGAGTATTGTTCAGATGGTTTTCACAGTACCAGCAAGATGAGTGACACCCAGCAAATTGACGAGCTGGAGCACTCGAGACCACTGGATAGAGTCCGTCATCGTCTACGGTATGTGGGTATTGACCGAGGTACAGATCGTTATCGGTTCTGTAAATCCGACGCTCGGATATTTGATTATGGCCTCGAGCAGTGGAAAGTTTCGAGAGTATTACTTTCGTTATCGCAAACTAGTCGGCGACTGTGTCGGAGCTTTTTGATTGCAACTGTATACTCCCTTGAGGCGCGGTGACCGAGATCTGCCAGTGCCCATTTCAGTGCGGTAAGTGATGGCGGCAGACGTCTAATTTGACTATGGATTCTCTATCCCACCTGAGCCGGGGGCAAGTCAGCGCAGGCCGCCCACCTTTGGGCTTCTGTTGTGCATAAAGCCTTGGAAGCGTCGGTCACCGCGCCACCCCACTCGACTAGGTCCAGAGAGGGAAAATTATCCCGCTTCATCCCACCGGCAACACTAGGCCGAAACCCCCTTGATGATCACTGTTGGCCGGGTGGGATGCCGAGTGGGCGCCGCCGCAGCAAAATTGCGCCGACGGAAAGGGAGAGAGAAAGTGAGAAAAATAGAGCAGCCTTGTGGTCGGAGGCCGTGGCGAGCGAGGTCTTGCGATGTGGTCTGGCCGGGTCGTGATGTTTGTCGAGGCGCTGCATAGTATAGTCTGTACGAATTGCGTGCGAATTATTATAGTCGAGCTGTAAAGAGGCTTTACGTCATAGCAAATCGAACGCTACTAGTGTACCAATTTTTCCAGCAATTCTTTTCGTCTTGTTTATTTCACTTTGAATGCCATCCCAACCTACCTAGCCAGAACCTGGAAAAACATTCGTATCCTTCAACGGATCGAGAACAAACGGCTTCACGTTCTCTATAAACTCCTTGTCGCTCTCGGACCCCCGTAAACACCAACACCAAATCGCCATACCCAAACACCGGTCCCAGGAGAGCAGCGGGACGAGCGCCTTGTTGTCCATTGTGAGACTCGCCTTTTCGCACATTTTGCTAATCATCAGCACCTCTTCGTCGCCGGCATTCGCGTCGAGCAGCGCGGGATCCGTCGGCACCATTCCATACCAGTGCGCCGCGGGCCCATCCCACATCATCAGCGGCAGCGGTATCTTTATCCTGAGCATGCCCGGCTCTGCGTTGCGAGATAGGCGCAACGCCGGGTGTATTGTGATGAATATTGTTTGGAGGATTAGATGTAGCTTGAACTGGAAGACAGCGAGACTGTACGCGAATAGAGTTAGCCATGACTCGTGCATTACTTCAGTGTGGAAAAAGGATGCCATCGTAAAGACATTTGTTCTACTAGTTTCCAGCGAAGACTAGTTGAGGAAGACACGATAGTCTCGATGCTATCTCCATCGTCTTCCTTGGCGTGGTGATATATCGACAGGAAAAGTTTTGGCTTACCGTTGATATAACTCTTTAAAGATCCAGGGGTATCCACTATGCCCACAGAGCTGCGACCCCAGGTTGATCTTTGACTGCTCGTATACTCCCGTAGCTTTGAATGTCTCGAGCAACATGGCATGCGTCATCATCACGTTGTCCATGGACTGGTCCGCTCGATATGGCACGAGTATTGTCGAGATCAGCATGGACTGGAAAACTGGGAGCAAATCCATCCGTGGCGAGAGCATGCCTTGTCTGGACTGCTCTAGTAGATCAAGCTGTATCGGCGATTAGCAAAAGACTCTTCTTTCCGAATGATTTGCCAAACACAACAACAAACGTCCGTGTATCCGGTAAGGTCCCCCGTCCAAGCGCAAGTATACCAGTAAAAGACCCGAGGAAATCACATAGTCTAGTAAACGACAGACAACAAAACCAACTTACGAGCTTGTTTCCTGTTTCTGCCAGAAGGCTATCGTGGAACTTGATGGCCAGATTTCTGGCGTCAGGCCACGAAGCAAACCATAGTCCGACTGTCATGACGGCCTGCATCAACAGCTTTGGTTGCGCCGTCGTCTCGAATGTCTCGCGGTGCAGCAGCGGCCATTGGGGATGGAATTTGGTAAAGTAGATGCTCTGCAGCTGGAGCCTCATGGCCTCGTCCAGGATGGATCCCGGGGTGGTGAAGTCGAGCGTGTCGGACATCGTCGTCATCGGCATGGGCCCAGCCGACATCATCGCATGCGAGGTAGTAGTCATGCCGGTGGGCGGGTGCTGCGGATGCTGGTGCTGATGCTGCATGCTCGGCGCTGTCGTCGGGTGGCCGCCGTGGTCGGGCAAGGCCATGGAGCTCGAGGGCGGCGTGCAGCCCGATGTTTGTAGGCCGGAGGAGCTGGACGGTGAGGAGGAAGACCGGTCCGTCAGCGACTTGCTGCCGCCGCGCGGCTGGGGCCATTCGCACGATTTCCCCTTGTCATTGCATGTTGAGCAGGTGGGTTGCTGACCATCGCATCTGGTCTTTGTCCGGTGGCATGGAACGCAGGCTTGTGCTACGCGGGTTGGCGGGGCTGAAGGGCCGTGTAGTACCATATGTCTACGGAGGGTATCTCTACAATTTTGATAGAAAATTTCCCGCGGTTAGTTGATTTTTTTTTTTCGCGCGGGATCCAGAGTCCAGAATCCGATCGACATCGACAGACAATAGTCAACCCACGAGAAGCGTCTCGGGAATGCAACCCGATGGACGCGACAGGTGACAAGACAAATAATGTCACAGACACCACGTACTAGGGAAGGGATAGGTAGTTTGTCAACCACCCATAATCATACATACCCTCTTGTAAACTTGGTACCGCATGATGGACAGGAAAAAGAAGGCGTTGCAGAGTGCTCTTTTTTGTGGCGTGTGAGGTGTTCCTTACGAAGATAGGAGCGGCCGCAGCCTTCATGGTCGCAGGTGAAGGGCATTCTGGGGACCTCCAACGCAAGGAAGGGATAGATCCATTGCCCTGGAAGTAGTTGCCGACGGGTTGACTAGATCTAAAAGAGGTTGCTTGAGAAGGGGGTCGGATAGCCACCCGCAGCAAGCAGAGCAGAGATAGGATAGGATAGGTTAAAGAGGGCTAAAGGCTTAGGTGGTCTGGTCTGGGTTCTGGTCCAGGTCTTGTGTGTGTATGTGTGTGAGTGTGCCGCGTGCGTGGAGAGCGTGTGGGCGTTATGTTGGGTGTTCGGACGTGGACTTCGCTTGAATCCGCCGTACGCTTAGCTCTTGGACGAGACGACTATGCTTGCCAGGAGGCCAGGGACTAGGACTAGGACTACCTAGGAGGGAGATGACTGAGGTGGACGGTGGAGGGGGGAGTCAAGGCTAAACCTTCCTCGGCAGTTGGATGCGCCTATCCTCGCCAGCGATTGGCTGGGCGTCCGTCTGGCCCATCTATAGGCCCAATTACTCAGCCGGTGGGATACCGAGATAAGTGGAGTCTCTGCTACCGGAGCGGGGCCTCCGGACGCCGAGGCTTATGTATGCGTCCGCCGGTACACCGGTAGGATAACGGTAAGCAACAACGGAGGACCCGGACTTGATGAATAATGATGATTATAGGCAGAGTCTCATAGTCTTTCTGTATAATATGAATGGGGGATCGCCCTATACAGAAGAGTTGCCGCCGCCCACATCACTAGAGAGATATAGTCATCAGCATTCTGACGCCGACCAAGTCTTTAGCCTACAGACATCAGACTCGCCTCATCAATCAGGCCCCCTTGTTCTGTAGAAAAGTTTACAACCTGAGACAACCTATCAAGTCGACAAAAATAAACCATGACTACGGCTACCCTGAAGAATATTGCCGTTATTGGAGTAAGCCACACCCAACCTACTCTTTACAGATTGCATGAGCCACGCATCGTGGATCCCTCGTTTCCCCTCTGCCCCTACACTACGGATACACTATCCTTACACTACTAAACCTTTACGGTTACTCCGTCCCCATACCCCTAAAGCCTAACATAGGCAGCCCGATCAAACTGCACTGACCACCGTACCACCCATCCCATACTTACTACCCGACGTTAGGGCACCGGCGACCTCGGGCATGTCATAGTCGACCAACTCGCTGCCGCCGGCATCTTTAACCTTGTCGTCATCACCCGGGGTTCCAACGCCAAGACTTTTCCCCCGGGAGTGAAGACTGTCGCAGCTGACTATGAATCATTGGACGACTTGACCGTTGCTTTCCGCGGGTTTGACGCCGTTGTCTGCGTCGTTCCAGGCCACCTCGAGGTCCTCCTCCTGCGCATCCTCGAGGCTGCTATCGCCGCCGAGGTCAAGCGCTTCATCCCCTCGGAGTTCGGCTCCGACCATCGGAATCCGAGTGCGCAATCTGTGCCCCTCTCAGCCTCCAAGCTTCGAGTCGATGAGGCGCTCCAGAAGGCGGCTGAGGCAGGGCGCATCGAGTATACCAGCATCCTCGGCGGACCCTGGATCGAATGGATCATGACTTGCGACACCGGCATGTGCCTTCCCAAACGCAAATTCTACATCCACGATGATGGCAACGTTCGATTTGGGCTGAGCACGCGCAAGGCGTTTGGCAACGCGGTTGCGGGTGTGCTCAAACGACCCGACGCGACCAAGAACCAGATCTTGACGATCGAGGTGATCAACCTGACGCAGAACCGGATCATGGAGCTAGTGAAGGAAGCTCTGCCCGATATAGACATTGAAGTCATCAACGTCAGCACAAAGGAGCGCTACGAGAGGGGCGTCCAGAAGCTACTCTCTGGGGTTTTTGACGCGTCGGTCGTCGAAGACATCGTGCTGCGATTTGTCTATGACCCTGAGCTCCAGCTCACTTTCGACACTGATGCCACCAACGAATTGCTCGGGGTCCAGAGGTTGACCGAGGCGGATTTCAAGGAGCTTGTCAAGACCTTGGCATAAGATAGCTCAAAGGTTGAGGTTTTCGCGCGCGGGGGCTCCTCTACATAAAATCCGACGGGATTCAGTGCCGGTGCCTTGCCACGCGAGTAAGCTCTTCATTAAGCTAGCTGTCATAGGCTAAATGTCATAGTAGACTCTAGAGGCTAGGGTCGCAATCTGACCAAGCAGACTAGGCGAATACCACTACACCTGAACTGTGCAAGTGAACCTAGAAGAACTATCAGTCCACTGTCTACCCATCTTTTTATCCCATTGTCAAAAAGCATAGCGGAAGTGCTAACCTCCTCTGGTAACCCATGCGTCTTTAGGCCCAAGTCTTTAGGGCTTCTGCCGTACGCAGTAGAGGCCTTGGGTTTGGCTTGGTTCGTTAGAGTTGCCCGTGAGCACCGGCCTCCGATAGGTCTTTTGGGTTTTTCTCCTTTGTCACTCCATTTTCCCTCTTTTCCCTTTTTAGCTTTGTCGGTAAGTGGGTGGAAGGTTTCCGAGCGACCCGCACGACAGACTTGACACAGGGCGGTCAGATGAAGCTTAAATCGAGGACAGCCGCAGCGACAACACCCTCCAAGTGCCGGCCGGATGGCACCATGACCGGACTTGGTGAACCGTGGCGCCGTATGCCGTACAGTCAGCCTTACACATCAACCACAAACAGACTAATTAACGCCATGACGCGCAACGGGAATAAGGGGTGGACGACCAAACATCATCTTTTTTTTTTTCTTTCTATTCTCATACCTTGCCTTTGCCCGTCCACCTCGGGTGGACGGGCAGGCAAAGCATCGGACGTAGAGCCAGTCTAAAGCGTCCATTGGCGAGATAAATGTAGCCTGAAACTGTAACGGGCATGTAAGCTGAAAAGCTATGTCGTTTGTATCGGCGCGTAAGACCCAACTCGTCTGAAACCAAAAAAAGAGTCCACGGACGGCGCAACGTGTAGTCGTCGGTAAATACGTGGTCTCATTGGTCAGTACCAAGATCTAGTAATGTACAATAAGCCTCCCCCCTTTTGCCCAAATGCTATATACATCTATAAGTATACTTTTTTCTTCAACAAGAACTCGGAACTTTTCGCGCTCTGTGCATACTACCCGCGTTCAGCACAGCCCACAGCTGCCTTAGTAGGTGTAGCGGAACGACTTGTTCTCCTTGTCAGTCATTGACTGCCAGTTCTCTGGGGCCATGTAAGCGTCCTCGGACTGCTTGATGGCGCCGCGGCGCTTGTTCTCGAAGCGGTAGTATGCGTACAGCGCCAGGGTGACGACGGCGCAGCCGGCCTGGGTGCCCATGACGGCGATCTTGGCCGGGCGGTACTCGGGCGCGTCCTTTGCCTGGAAGGTCTGGGGTCCGATGATGTTACCGAGCGAGAAGGAGCCGGAGACGATGGCGGCGGCGAAGGCACGCTTGGTGGCACCTCCAAAGTTGGCGGCAGTCCACTGCATGTTATGTCAGTCATCATGTCCAGAGGCTACGTGTAGTCTTTGGCCTTTCGAGATTTGGACGTCTCGCGGCTCGGAAGTGTACTTACGGCGTAGAAGACGGTCAAGGGGGCAACGACGGCGTTGACGAGGTAGATGCCTGCCAAGCAACCGGAGCGGTTGCTAACGGGAAGGAAAGACATCAGAGCGCCACCGATGATGCTGAGCAGGGTTAGTATTTTGCTTTTTCTTCGGACGCTAGATTCACTGTTGACTCACGCTGGGATGATGCAGGCGACGATCCAGGCCCACCGGTTGGACGTGTGACGAATTCCGTAACCAACGAGGAGAGTGAAGAAGATGCTGACAACACCGGAGGGCATGTTCATCAGAGCAGCGTGCTTGGAGTCGTAGCCGAGGTTGCGGATGAGGGTCGCAGAGTAGGTGGTGACAACACCGCTAGAAACGGACAGCTGCGGAAAAGGGGTCAGCGGAATTCGAACGCACAACTTCGGGGGCTACACGGGGCACTACGCACGAGAACGACGGCGACGACCATGAGGTACATCTGGGGGTCCATGAGAGCCTCGAGGATCTGCTTGGGGCGGAACTTGCGGCTCTCGATACCGGTCTGGTTGACGCTGACGTGCTTCAGCAGGGCAACCTTCTCGGTGTCGCTCAGCCAGCGGGCCTGCATGGGCGTGTCCGGGACGAAGAGGACGGTGCAGATACCAATGGTGACGGTCAGGCAGCCGAGGACGACGAACATGATGCGCCAGCCGGCAAGGCCCGCGCCGGGAGCGATATGCTGGAAGCCGTAGGAGATGGCGCCGCCGAGGATCTGGCCGAGGCCGAGACCGAGGTACCAGAAGGAGAAGCGCGGGGCCTGCTCAGACTTAGTGTACCACTGGGCGCTGATGAGCATCAGGGAGGGACCGATGGTGGCCTCGAAGATGCCCAGGAAGACGCGGGAGACGAGAAGGGACTGGTAGTTGTGGGCGGCGGCACCGCAGGCGGTTGCGGTGCCCCAGAGGATGACGTTGGCGCCCAACCACTTGGCCGCTGGAACCATCTGGAGGAAGTAGACTGCGGAGATTTTGTTAGTCTCAATGTCTCTCTTTTTCCTTTTTGCAGACTGTGCTCATGGTTCGAGTCTTGATGGTTCGTGTCTCTCCAACGTTCGAGTTTCTCCATCACCCCCCGAGCTTCTCCAGAGTTTCTACATCGTTCGAGTCTCTCTTCTCTTGCTTTTCTTCCGGTAATATGGGGAATAAAATGGGGTAAGGCTTACTGTTGGGAACCTCAAAGCAGAGAAGACCGACAAAGAGGAAGGTGGCAATGTTGGAGAACTCGTTGCCGACGAGCTTCAGGTCCTTGCTCAAGCCCATGACTGCGGCGTACTAAATTATCAGATATCATATTAGCATTGGGTCGCGTGGTGACTTTGTGTGAGAGACCAGTCCGGTTCGCAAAAGCAAGCAGGCCGCTCAGACATGAGCTAGATGAGAGAGAGGGTGTAGTTGAGGAAGAGATCTTTGAAGACCACGTGGGAGTACTCACGTTGAGGATGACCTTGTCCAGGAATTGCATGGTATAGCAGAGGAACATGAGGGGGACGAGGCGCCAGTCGATCTTGCGTCTGAGCGCGTTCATGTCCACGGAGCTCGTGTCGGTGCCGGCATCGCGATGGTCGTTGAGGAACTTCCACGCGGCGTCGATGTTGCCCGTCTCAGCGTGGGAGTCGGACGAGGCGGCCGAACTCACAAAGTCCTGAGGATTCTTCTCGTCCACGGACATGTTTGCTTTGTATATATGTCTTGTCTTGCTTTAGACGCCGGTAGGTGTAAGACGGTAGGATAGAAGAATAAGGAAAACAATGGGAAGAAATGTGATCCCTCCTAGATTACTACCTTAGCACTCAGTAGCGGGAAGGAGATGCCAAAAGCAAAGTTGGTCCGTCGTCTGGCTGATCGACGACGAGGCGCGCACAGGCTTCCGCTGCGGGACTGAAGGCTAAAGAAGGTTGGATTGGGGGGGTAAGTCGAGATTTCTGATCTGATATCCGCGCAGGTGTCAGATGGAAAAGAAAAAGGTTAAAGAAGTAAAACGGGATGAAGAGGAGGGGAAGTCGTAATGAAAAGGAGGAAAAGCAACGAGTGACAATAGTTGATTTGACTGATTAGTAGTTCGTCCAGTAAAAGGGACCCCGCCAGGAGATGTGTACAAGAATGGTATCAGAACCACTACCACACAGTCCACAAGTTACAACACTTGAACAAGAATATCTTGTTGGAACTTGGATGATGAGGAGCAGCTGCAGGAAAGGAGGAGGGCTAGACAAGACGAGCAACGTGCTACCTGCGTGCTGCAGGTCTCACCTAAGTACATATCACCCCATGTCGACGCAGGTATTGTCACTTTTCCCTCCCAAAATCGACCACACCAACAGCTTAGCGTACCGTACGGCGCAGCTCCCCGATCCCCGCCTGCAGCATGCAAGGTTTGCGTAGTCGGAGCAGGGGACCGGGGGGACCCCTAACTCACGAGAAGAAAGACTGGGGCCCGATCCCCGGTGGCCGATGCATGCAACCTGGACCTCCAGTTCGAGAACGAGGGATATCCGGTCTGGCGAGCGATGGATCTCGACAAGTTACCTACTCCTCCAGGCTCCTCCCTCTGCCCCAAGTACGAAGTACTCCATAGACAGGTGGAAGTGGTGGCATATCCGTACCTCTCAGCTGAGGACTGGATCCAGATGAAGCCAGAACCCGGCCTGCTACGGGCTTGTTCACCCCATTGAAAAAGGTCCATTGAAGAGGCCCCGTCCCATTCATATCCGGTCGCATCACCTCTTAGCCTATGATCTGTATGCCAATACCAGTTCGTTTTGCGACTGTTGCGACGATTCTGGCACCTCTAAAGCTTTTGGGTCTCGTCGGCCCGCTCTTCAAAGTGGTTTTGCGCGGGGATCCAGGCTTGATGGCGACCGTAAATAAGGGCCCCTCCTCCCCTCTCTATTAAACTGCTTCTCAAGTTATCCCCATCCGCTCATCTGCGGCCTGCTGATTCTTATCGAACATCCGAGTCATCAACCCAGAAGATGTCGTCGTGATGTGGCGGGCCAGCGCAGATAGCTGGGAATTTTGAGAGGTCAAGCGGCAGTAAGGCAGTGAGGCTCTGAGCTCTCTGCAAATGAGAGGGCAGAAAAGGGAGAAAAAGTTCTCCTGCGAGCGGGGGCGTTGCGAGAAGCCGGGCAGAAATGGGGGCAGTTTTTAATAATGACAAGGCGACAAGACGGGACGGTCTAGCCGACTTTTACTGGACTTGTCAAAGTGTCAATTTGCCTTCTGCCATCGAACGATGTTAATCTTTGTCGCCTGCTTTTACTGGGGTCCTGGAGAACACCAAAAAGACTCAATTGCGTAGGAAGTTCCTCATTACGCATACAATAACACAGTACTTACACTTTCGAGAAGAGAAACTTTCAACTGTACTGTCAACCTTCGCCTCGGCGCCGACACAACCAGTCCAGTCAACTGACAACAGAAAAAGCCAGGGCCACGAACGGTGGAAGTTTGACAGATACCGTCCGTGGTCCGTTCAGACCTTGCAAGTTGCCAACGACTTGCAGCAGACGCAATGCCGCTTAGCACCGCCCGCGTCCCTTTGCCGTCGCATCTTCTGCTTTGGGCCTAACCTCTCTCATTTTCCCCCTCCAAGAACCCCGGCTTGTCGGCCGTCGTAGGTTGTTGCACCATGGTACCACGGTTGGCGTTGCTAATCCAAGCCAACCGTTGTCTTTCCGTGGTCGCATTTAGTAACTTCTGAAAGTATTCTCCCGAAGAGCAATTTTGTTCCGTGGAAGTTTTCCTGTCCCGAAGTAACCACACGCATTTTACCAACACCACACCAGCCACACCCCCCTCCTCTTCGGATGGTACTCCGGACGGCTTGATGGAGAACGACCGAAGCCAGCCCAGTCCCGGCCCCAGGAAGAAGAAATAATGTAATTCGGAAACCAGACTTGGGAGGCTTGGCAAAGCTTTAAGCGTGTAGCAGCCAGAAACCCAGAAAGAAGATGATGCATCGAATCGCAAGAAAAGGGAACGATGCAGCGATGCATTCGCTGCGGAGCCTCTTGCGGTGATCCCCCAAACATTTTGTCTTTCCCGCGCTTCCGTGACCTACCTTCCTCTTCTTTGGAAGCTTCTCACATTTCATGTTGCCCAGCGTCACATTCGATTTACGAATAACCCGAAGACAGTCCACCCATCACTGCTGCGTATGGCGTGGCGTCACTGTATTTCCCTTTCCATGGCAACTTTCTCTGGCCGCCGCCCCATGTCCAATGGATGAAGGTCCCTGGCGGAGCCTGGTCATTGGGCCAGTGGCCGAACATCGAGACATTAACAAGGCCATGCCAGCACCAGGTTCCCGAGCCAGCACCAGGCCACAAAACCCTATCACATTGCACGGATTCCTTCCAGACTGGCTCAATCCTTGCGGTGGTTGAGACAATTTGAGGACCGATTGCCTTTGCCAGACAAGGCATCCCAGGTTTTCCCTTCTGCCTTGTCACTTGTGAGCTTTCTTGACCTGCCCCAAATGTCGTGACCTGCGAGCTTTTTCGGGGTGTTGAAGCAGCAAGGCCAGGCGGAGACTCTCGATTCCCCTCCTCGTAAGGATCGAGCTGGGTAGGCACGTATCCGTACCCCATAGCTTATTCCTTTCTTCTTGACTTCCCAAAGTTCCCAGAAGCTCGGAGCACACATACGCAAAGCGACTGGCTCATATTTTCTTGTTCCTTGTGGATAATGTGATGTTCCCCAGCTAGCAAAAGGCAAGGTGAAGGGGCCACGCTGCACCACTCATCACACACATAGTGTTCAGCGCCACGCACACACACACACACATCCCACGCGCGAGCGGGCGGTAGATGACCGCACCGCACCACACGACATAATAAAGATTAAAGTGGCCATCCGCCCCCCTAGTCTCTGGGCTGTTCAACGTTGGCGGATGCTGTTTGTGTATTGCTACTCTCCACCGAATTCATAAAGTGTCCCTTGCTTTCGACCTGCAGGCTAGGATCTTATTTTACCAGTCGGCTGGTCGCATCCCCCCTCCTCCCCATCCCTCGCTTCTCCCCTGAGTCCAAGTCCCCTTAACCTCCGTTGGCCTTTATATTTCTCTCCCCCATTCGAGCCCGATTTTATACTACGCCGTTGGTCCCGCGTTTATTTGGTCTTGGTTTTCTTGTTGGAACTTGGAAACTCGTTGGACGTCAAATCGTGTTGGTTGCAAGCCACAGTTACACACCACATCGCGGAAACGCTAGACGAGTCACGAAAGACCTCGGCGTTCTTCATCGGGAAGTTTATTGGGCTTGTCTTGGATTTTCGACTCAGCGCCACGCAGCCGCTGCACCAACCGTTTTATTCTATAAACCGCCGCCATGGGCTGGGTTCTCAACGCCACGCCCGAGGTCGAGGCCATATCGCAATGGCCGACCATCATCGCCGTCGTCATCGTCCTTTCTGTGCTTTCAGTCATCGTTGTGGGCTCTCGTATTTGGATCCGATTTTCTGCCCGAGGTCTGGCTGCCGATGACTGGATGTCGGTTTTGTCTGAAGTATTTGCTCTCATCTATTCCGGCCTTACCATTGCACGTAAGTATCACGTCAAAAGTTGGATGTGTTTCCCACCAATGGTTCTAATATGGTTTATTAGAAACGAGATATGGCCTCGGTTTGCCCATCAAGCTTAGGCCAAAGGACAATCTGATTTTATACACGCGTATCAACTTTGCAGGTCGCCCATTCTACCAACTGGGCATCAGCTTTTTCAAGATTGCCCTGTTGATCAGTTATCTGCGTCTTCTCAAGGGAACCGACCAAAAGAACTACCGCCGCATCGTCTGGCTGACCATCATCTTGGTCTTCATCGCTCACCTCGGATGCTCATTCTCCCTTGTCTTCGCCTGCACGCCTGTCGACAAGTCATGGAACCCTCTCAAAGCGGGAACTTGTCTGCCCGCGGGTCCATCCTTCACCGCATACGCCGTTGTCACCATTGTTTCCGACGTCGTAGTGGCAGTACTGCCCATTCCGGTGCTTCTTAAGCTCAACGTCCGCGTGGAGAAGAAGGCTGGCCTCATTGCCATTTTCCTTCTCGGCTTGTTCACGACGCTCTGCTCTATCCTGCGATACCTCGAGATCAACCGCATCCAGTACGGCGACGGCAACTCGACGATGCTGGTCCTGTGGGGCACCATTGAATTTAACGTTGGCGTAAGTTCTCTCCCGGAAAAGCGTCCGCGAGCTTTCCCGTTTCCCGTGTCTTCCGGTGAACTAAAATGGCTAATGAATCTGGGCAGAATATCGTGTCTTCACTTCCATTCCTGGCACCCGTATGCATGAAGAAGGCCAAGAACTATCGCTCAAAGTACTCTGGAGGCTCGTCGCACGGACGAAGCCACCTCAAGGGCGGGGAGCGGTACAAGCTCAGCGAAATGAACCACGACAAGTCTGTCTTCGCATCGGCGAACCACAGCAAGGGCGACAATGGCAGCGAGGAGAACATTCTGCCCGGCAACATCATGAAGTCGGTGACGTACAGCGTCCAGGTCGACGACAGGGTGGACAGCAAATCAGGCGTGCATGGTGGGATAAGCAGCGGCACGCGACGGAGGGATTCGCGAGATTCAGATGTGTAAGATGGGTGCAATTACCAGACGCATCAACACAATTTCGAAAGCACAAGAAAGCATTTAAATGGCGAAAATGTAACATGATAAT